ACTGATGTTGGTTGTGTGGGTGATTGAATGAATAATTGAGTGAGTGAATGAATGATTGCTTTAACAGTATGCAATCTCTGAAATCTTACATGCATTCATTTGAATTTTTAAAAACATTTTAATGTGTTCCTTTGAATATTTTATGCAGATAGCTGGTATTACAGTGATGACTATGTACATAGGGTTAGTCATTAATAAAAATATTTATGTTAGGTATCATGTCATGAAAATTATTTTTCCAATAAGTAGGGACACATTTTGAAATGAAATATTAGGCATCCTTTAGGTGAGTGCGGGGGTGAGCAGAGGTGCACAAACTAGTCCCGTGACCGTGTGTTCAGTTGAGTTGAATAGAAAGCACGCAGTTTATGAACCGTGATGATATTGGGCGTGGGTACCGCACTCACTGCTGGCGAAAGTGGAAATGGGTACAACTGGTTTAGAAAACTGTTTGGAAATATCTGCCAAAGTCAAACACAGGCCTGTCTCTGTCCTAGCCGGCACGGGCCACCAGAGCTATGCACAAAAATACCCCTAGAAGCTTCACTCATCATATCCCCAAACTGGAAACGTCCCAAAGGAGCCACAAGATGAAAAGGAAAACTAAATTGTGGTGTTCACACACTGGATCCAGGACACCAGCACAAAAGAACGAACTGTACTTGCAGATATTTTTGGGGGTTGGAAAGAATAATAAAAGAAAGAACACGGCCGGGTGTGATGGCTCATGCCTGTAATCCTAGCACTCTGGAAGGCCGAGGTAGGAAGATTGCTTGAAGTCCTTAGTTTGAGACCAGCCAGAGCAAGAGCGAGACCCTGTGTCTGCCAAAAATAGAGAGAGAAAAAAAATTAGGGCCTGCTGGTGAGCACCTGTAGTCCCAGCTATCTGAGAACCTGAGGCAGGAGGATCACTTGAGCCCAGGAGTTTGAGGTTGCTGGGAGCTATGATGACATCATGGCACTCTAGCCAGAGGGAGACCCTGTCTCAAAAAAAAAAAAAAAAAAAAAGAACAGACTACTGCTACATGCAGCTACATGGGTGCATGACACCGAAGGAGAGAAAACAGATCTCAGAGTATATGTCATGTATGTAATTCCATTCTGTGAAATCAAAAGAACAGGCAGAAATGATTTATGGTGAGCGAGGTCAGAGTGATAGTTACTTTTGGGCTCTGGCACACAATATGGAACCACACTGACCTGTCAGGTGGCAAAGACAACAGACCCCAGGTACAGGTGCTGGCATGTCCTCCCCTGCCTTCCCCAGCCTTGGAATTGCTCCTGAGCAGGGTCGTTCCCAGGTGCAGTCTTGGGGCTCCCCGACAAGAGACATTGCATTTATGAACAAAGGTCGAAGACCCATTTGGACAACAGGATGGTCCTCGTGGGGCCGAGGAAAAATTTTACTGAAACTGAAGCTTCAATCCTGAAGAAATTGGGGTGTCCCAGCATGTGTGCCTTTGACCCCGTCCCTCCCCGCCCGTCCCCCAGAACCCGCCGCTGGTGTTCGCCAAGGAAGCAGCCGGAGGCAGCGATGGGTCGCGAGCGGGGCCGCCCCACGCTGAGCTGCGGAGGTGGCCCCCAGGCGCAGACGGGGCGTGACGTTGTACAAGGACGGAAGCGGCTGAGCCCCAGCCCTTTCCCCGACGTGCGCGTGGAGGTCGAAGGGCGGCAGCGGCGGCTTGGGGGTTGGCGCAGCGCTGGGCGTTCTGGCGGCGCCGGGGAGTACAGCTTGCGAGGCCGGGCCCAGAGGTTTCTCCTTCCGCCTGGACGTGCAAGGTGGGGGTGCCAGGCGGGCAGATGTTCAGGAACCTTTCACGTCCCAGCGTTGTTGAAACTCGGGGCCACAGGCCAGCCTGGGCAGGCCTGAGGGTGCAGGGGGGCCCGTGGCAGCGTTTTCCCGCGTCTGTGGCCCAAGAGCGCGCCGCTTCGCCAGCGTCTGGCCTGGTTGGCTCCCGGCGGCCCGTTCGTCCTGTCACCAGCGCAGAGCAGGCCGTGGCTGAGCCGTCGCCCCAGTTGCCGCCCCGGTGTGGCCGAGCCGGCGTGGTTGCTTGGGGGGTGGGGGTGGCGGTGGGTGGCGGTGTTGCGGGGTCTTGGGGTCGCGTCTGGAAGGAGTCTTGGTGACCCCCTGTGTGGTGTCCTTGAGGGGGGGATGCCGGGAAGGCGGACGGTCCGTGACTGGACGAGCAGGGCCTGCAGGTGGCCAGGCAGCCGTTGTTGCCCCCGCCGGTCCCTGTGTGCTGGCCCTTGGTGGATTCTCCACTGTTCCATCTGGCTCCTTCCCTGCTCATCGTTCCTGCTTTTTTGGTCCGTTCCACCCTGGTCACTGAGCCTGGGCCACAGGAGACCAGCACGTTAGCTCAGCACCGCCTCTCGCTGGAGGACGCCCCTGGCGCACTGAGCTGGGCCCGTGATTTTGGCTGCCCTGGCACTTAGCGTGGCCCCGTGATTTCGGCGTGCACTTGGCACTCAGGCCCTGACTCGTTCATTTTGCTGCCCTGGGTTACTCAGCTGGCCCCTGATTGGCTTGCAGTGCGCACTGAACTCGGCCCCGTTGATGGCTCCCTTTGGCCACTCTGGCTCTCTGTCCCTGTGCAGCCCCGTGGCCCAGCGAGGCCCACAGTTCCTGCGTCTTGCGTTTGCTTTCGGAGGGCGACCGTCTCCTCCCGCACCCCTGCCCGCTGGGGGCCTCGTGGTCTGCGGCCTCTGCCGTTGGGCGGGAGCGGCGGGGGCCGGAGGGGTGACAGGCTGGGGGCCGCCGAGACCTGACTGGCGAAGCTTCTGTGCGCAGACGCGGCGTGGACTGTGCCGCCAAGCGACAGCTTCCGGTGCCCGCCACCACCGCGGGGCCCCTGCCCAGCGCCCATGACAGCATCGCCGTGGCCACGGGTGGGACTGCCCAGGGCGGAGCCCCAGGCCCTGAATTTGATGGGATGCGTCTGGGCTGGCGTTCTCTGACCCGTGTCCCTCCCGTCCGGATTCCCAGAGCCCGCTTTTTGGTGTTTCGGCCCCAGAGGGAAGCCAAAAAAAAAAAAAAAGCCGGAGCGCAGCGAGGGTCGGCCGATGGCGGGGGCCCGGCGCCACGCTGAGTGCGAGGTGGCGCCACGGCGCAGCGACGGAGGGGTGACGGTGCGGTTACAAGACGGGAAGCGGCTGACCCCAGCTCACCGAGGTGCGCGTGGCGGCGAAGGGGGTAGGCAGCCGCGGCTGGTCGGTGGCCGCAGCGCGGGCGTGGCGGACGCCGGAGTACAGCTGCCGAGGCGGGGGCAGCCACGGCTCTCCTTCCGCTGGACGTGGCAGGTGAGTCGCGTCGTTGGGCAAGGTCTTGCCTCGGTTTTGGGCTCGCGTGATGAGTGGCGCCAGCTCGGTGCACCTGGCTGCTTTCCCCTCAGGACCTCTCTCTCCTGTCTCGCCACGGCTTTCCCAGTTTCACATTCATACCCTCTGCCCAGGGGGCTGGGGAAGGGGTGTTTGCAGGAGGAGGAGGCTGTTCCTGTGACCTCGAAGGCGGTTCCAGGCAGGATCGCCTCAGTCTTACGTTCCCAGCATTGCCCAGAACCTGTTCTGGTCCTTTTTGGTTCAGGATGTGCTCGCAGCCTTGTGGGTGGGAGACCCGGGTCTGTACTGGCGGGGTGGCATTCTTTCTGGGGATGTTCAGGGCTCCCAGTGCTTGCCTGTTGTCTTGCTCTTAGTGGGGGGTGTTGATCTCTTCAACTTTTGGGGAGGTGGATTCAGCCAGTCCGCCACAATGGAATCACGTGCTAACACAAACTTGTCTTAGTGTCACGGCCATTCCTTCCTTTTGCATGGATATGGAGTTATCTTCTACCGTGGTAGTTAGCGAAATCTGGACCCCATGTTTTGTTGCAATGCCTGGCAGTTATTTGGAAACCTGTTGGATGTGATTATTGCCTATGATCACACTGTTAAGGTTGGACTGAGTTTGTTAAACAATGCCGTTATCTTCTTGTGGTTTTTTTTGTGTTTTTTTTGGAGGAGCAGAGTCTTCACTTTGGTTTGCCCAGTTGAGCTGGAGATGCTGTGGCTTCAGCCTACTTCACAGCAACCTCAGTTTTCCTGGGCGAAGCGGATCTTCGCTGCTAAGCTCCCGAGTTAGCTTGGAGCTACAAGCGATGCACCACCATCCTGGATAATTTTTTGG